AGTAGATTTACTAGAGGCACTTGAATAGGCCTGGCGTGTGGTGCACACTCAGTAGCTGGTAGCGGTGGTTGTGCCTGGTGGGATCATTGTTACTGTCATCTGGAAACCTGTTCCTCTGGATTATATTGGTCACTCCTCTGTGAGTCTTTCTTGACCACCTTTAAAAAAAACAGTGTCTCTTTTCTCAGCAGACTCCTAAGATACACTCTGTGCCCACACCTTTCTTCTCTCTCTCCACAATCTCTCCTTCTCTCCATACCCTTAACTCCCATTGCCACCCTGCTGACTCCAAAATCCATCTCTCTTTCCCAAGCTCTAGGTGTGTAAGCCAACCACACACTGAATTCATCCTCTTTTCTCCTTAAATCTTATTTTCCTCCCATAACTTTCTACCCAGTCACCCAGGTCAGAAGCCTGGGTGTTCTGTTGTGTCCCTTTGCTACATCGAGCGCCAACCACAAGTCAGACCCCAAGGTGGATCCTGGGGGTGCAACAGTGTGTAGATGCACAGAGCCTGCCACACCTGCTGTCATGGGAGAGGCACATACTGTACATGATTAGCTCCAGTAACAAGCCAGGGTCCTAATATTGATTGGAAAGATTTCCCTGGGGAAGGGCATTTGAACCAAGATCTAAAGGATGATGAAGCATTAAATCAGGCAAACTGGGGTTGGGGTACATTGTAGGCAAAGGAGAAGCTTGTGCAAAGGCTCTGTGGTGGAAAGAAACACATTTAAAAAGGCAGGAGGCAGGAGGGCCAAGAAGGTGGCAGAATATGGTGTTGAGTGAGTTTGGGGAGGTGGGCGGCTGGACAGTGCATGGACAGGAAGGCCAGGTTAGTGTTAGATTCTCTAGGCTCCTCTTTGCTGCTTATGCCCACCCCTTTCCACCAGTTTCTCTCTCTTTAACCCCTTTCCCATATTGAAGTCCTCATTGTTCACACATAGAAAATTAAAGTAGCCTCTTGCCATCTTCAAATCCATCTTCTGTGCTTTAGTCTTAGTGGTATTTTAAAAATGTAAATCTGATTAAGTTGGTCCTGAGGCTACAGTCCTCCCCTGGCTCCCCACTGTCACATCCTGCCAGCTTCCTCTCTTGTTAGTCTCCTCAAGGCCACCCCCCACCCCACACTGGCTCTACTGAATTTCCTGCACTTTCCTGAAGGTACTGGGCGGAATGTGCTTTGATACCTCAGTGTCCTTGCTGCCTTTGTCTCCTGATGACGTCCTGCTATCTCACGAGCTAAAGCTCATCCCCCTCCTCTGGGGCGCCATCCCCCCACTCAAGCCCGTGAGCGGGCCCCCCTCTTTGCAGAGCACATGCTCACCCAGTGCCTTTTCCCCACTACCCTCCTCGCTTATCGTGCGACTCCTCTGCTAGATGGTGAACTCCTGGAGGGGAGGGGACTGGGGCTCATTTATCTCTGTCCTTCTGGTGCCATGGGCTGGGCACACATTAGGTATTTAATGTTTTCTTGAAGACCTGGTGATAAAGGAGTAACATGGTATAAGCAGGTGGTGAAAAACGAAGCTCCATCCAGAGAGCTCTGCATAGAGGGACCATGCCCGAGGGGTCTGGCTTCTAGAACCCCCATGTGCTGTCTGGTTCTGTTTCTTCTCATAACTGAACACAGGTCTCAGGGCTGCCCCCCACTGCTCCTGCCGCCACCTGCATCCTTCCAAAAGGGTAGGTGATTACGGGTGGGCAGAGTCAAGCCTAAATACATTCAGTCTTCTAGCAGAGTGGTTCTTAAACTGTAGTGTGCCTCAGAATTATGTGCAGGGCTTGTTAAAACACAGATCGCCAGGTCCCACCCGCTGAGCTTCTGATTCAGTAGGTCTGGGTGGGGGGAGGCCAAAAATTTGCTTCTTTACCAGTTTCCCATGTAGTGCTGGTGGTGCTGGTCTGGGGCCTATTTGAGACTCTTTTCTAGCAAAAGAATTTGCTCTAAAAATAAATACTCTCTATGGTGTTGGGGAAGGAGATATGGGAAGCTTTTTGCTTGGGCTTGCTTTTGTAGGTTTTAAGAACCATCAATATGAGATTGATGTGGATAGATGGATCAGATTATATATACTTACCCCTCCTCCATCTCCTGGCTTTCCCACAAAAAGTTTCTGTTTTCATTCATCAGCTATTCAATGAATATATGTGAAGGTGTAATATGTGCCTAGCAACATAGGAGGTGCAGTTGTTGATGCCAAGACAAAATCAATAGCAAACTGTCTTTAGGAGAGATCCTCCCGTGCAGACATTAACTGTCATTCAGGGAGAACAAAGAAGAAATGCCTTCTCAAAGGGGTGGCGAGTTCTCCATCCCTGGAGCTGTCCCAGGGCAGGCATCTAGAATGTTCCTGGGAATAAAACAGTTTGATAGTTAGACCACTTGACTATTAAGATCCTGAAATTCTGTGAATAAGGAAGACAGTGACTGATGGGAATAAAATGGCTCAAATGAAATGCTATGGAGTTTGTAGACCTGCTGAGGCACTGAGGCCTCATGTGCCTAATTATTATCCTTACATTATACTATTATCCTGATTTTTGATAAACATTTGTTCCTCACCAACAGGATGCCTGGTGACTAAATGGCTCTGTGTCCAATGCCCCCATAATTTGCTGTTTATTGACCTCATATCACTGAAAGGGTTAAGGAGAAAAGCCACGAGTAGGCCTGGAGTGTGAATCAGGGGCCTCTTAGGTCCCACTTCCTGGGTTAAATGCAGTTGAGATGTGCGGTGCCTTTTTATGTTTTTGTGATTTATACAACAAAGAGGGATTTGGGGCACGGGGATTGAGGAGGATGTAAGTAGCTAATTGTAGGACTTGAATTTATAGTCACTAGGTCACCAACTTGAATGTCAGACTCTCACCTTACTAAGAAATTCCAACCAGTTTCCAGATTCCGTTTATGATGTAAGGGTTACAGTACCCTTTGCAGGAGGGTTCAGCTCTTAAGATGTGGCAGACCAAGCTGAAACCTTCACCTCTCACTACCATTTATTAGGAATCTATTATGTACTGGGTGCTGAGTGAGATACTTTACAAATATTATTTATAAACTTTCAAGGTAAGCAATTCTATCATCATTTTCAGATAAGAAAAAAGGCACAGAGACATTACGTGTCTTGTCCAAGTTCACATAGCAAAACTCAATTCATTTTTAAAAATCAACATAACCATAAAATTGAAATGTGATAGAAGATGGGCCAAAAATTATAGATCTATCTCAAGTATGAGTATAGATAGACACAAAATGCAAGATTAGAAAATAAAAAGTGGCAGTATATCAAATGGACAATACACTGACCAAATGGAGTGCATTCTAGGAAGGCAAGAATGGTTCAATAATAGGAAACATTAGGAAATCAACATAATTCACTGTATCAACAAAGTAGAGTCATGTATTAGTGGATGCTGAAAGGGCAATTGATAAAGTTCTCTTACAATAAAACCATAAAACAGACATAAGAGTATAACTACTTAAATTTGATAAAAATAAAAAATTAGCCATATGTATCATTTTAATCAGTGAAACACTAAATCCAACTTCATTGACATAGGAAAAGCTTGCCTTTGCTATTTTTAAATGTTATCGTGACAATTTTTATAGATGGAAGTAAGCTCAGAAGATAAAAGAGTTTGTATAAATATGAGAAAGGAGATCACATTATCTGTTTTTTGCCAGTAGTTGTAATACCTAAAAAAGCCTAAGAAAATCTAGTAAGAAGAGAAACCCTACCAGAAATAATAAGGGAATTGGGTAAGGTGGCTGAGTGACAGGTCTTCTTCATGCTAGCAAGGTTGCACAGCTGGCCACCTTTGGCACCAGGAATGGGGATTTGAACCCACATCTGATGATGAAGTCTGTGCTCTTTCCAAAGCATTTGTGCTCATTGCTTTTACCCAGTCATATGAAGAAGGACCTCTTAAAGCTTGTAACCTCCTGTGCTCCACAGATCAGGCGGGGTTCGCTGTGCTGGGGAGCAGTGCCGATGAGACGAGAGAGTTGGCACAGGGTTTTTACTGGAAGACCCTCGAGGCTTCTGCTACCAGCAGTGCCATCCCTCTAGGGGCTGAGATGTTGGGCTTTGTGTGGGGGGAAGGTGAAGGATGGTGATCTAGTCTTAACCATGTAGCTAGACTGCTTCTCAGGTACTGAGCAGCCAATGAACGGACCTGTCCCTTTCTTCCTCTTGGGTCTAAGAAGCCATATTTATGTTGCTTGTCACCTTAGTCTAATACTGTCCATTTGAGAGGTAGTGCTTGTGAGGACATATTTTGGCCATCTTGGGTATCAGAGGCTTCCTGGGACATCAAGGCACAAGCTCTGAGTAGCCACATGTACCAAGGATGCCTCAGCTTCACGGTTTTCATAGTGGAATTGGAAATTGTTTTTCTGGCACAAAGTCACTAGTTGTTACATCAAAAATTTCATCCAGATAAAGTTTTGTACTTCATACAGTCAACCACGGGGTAGTGGCAGGAGTATTGCATGGGACCCAGGAGATGTGGTTCTGGCGGCTCTGCCACGATAGCCGTGTATTCCCAGGCAGATCACTCAGCCCTGCTTACCTGTCTCTGCCGTGGGGTGTTGGACTGAATAAACTTTCAGTGCCCTTTGACTTCCCAGTTACAGTGATCATCATGTGCCCAGCACTTTCTTTGCACAGAGGTTAACTCATCAAAATAACCTTATGAGCTAAGTACATACAATTATTCTTGTTTTCCCTCTGAAGAAGTTGAGGCACAGAGAGGTGAGTGACTTGCTCAGGGCCTCACAGCTAGGAAATGGCTCAACTTCTATCCTGTACCTTTATGGCTTTTCTTTACCTTAGCCCACGTGGTTACAGGGGTGTTCTGTCAGTGGGAGACGGAGTGTTGGGATGGGAGAGGCTTTTTAAGGGAAACCCAGCTCTGGGGTGGACAGACGGGTTTGCTGCCTGGCTGCAGAGGTTGTTGACATATGTTTTACCTTCCTTCCTTCTTTTCTTCTTCAGTCTGTGGCAAGCGCTACAAGAACCGGCCGGGACTCAGTTACCACTACGCTCACACGCACCTGGCCAGCGAGGAGGGGGATGAGGCCCAGGACCAGGAGACCCGATCCCCACCGAACCACAGAAACGAGAACCACAGACGTGAGTTCAGCTGTTGGGTGGGGGCAGTGATGAAGAGGGTGGGCCTGGCTGGCAGCACCACACCTCTTAGGTCTGCCGGGGGCTCTGGCTGGCTGGCCTCAAGGGCCTGTGGTGACTCGGTTCTTTCAAGCCAGCCCCAGCTGCCCCTGTGTGTTGGCCAAGCCCCAAGTGCAGTATGAGCCAGGCCAGGGGCACACCTAGCTCTGCACCCAGAGGAAGGGAAGTGAGTGTTGGCGCAGAGGGGAAACATCCCTACCTGGCCTTGTCATAGGACGGACCTGCTGCTCCGCCCCCTCAGCTCCAGAAGTTCCTTTTGCAGCTGCTGACCGGAGCTGGGTGGGGACCTGGGTGTGTCGATTCTGGCACAAATGCAGAATATCGCCTCGGCGACCAAGAGGTGTACAATACTCTTGATCTATTGTCTTGACTGTAACGGGGTTGCAGTCTTAGTCCAGGGCTCTCCTGCCTTGGAAACACTGCCCTGGATCCTGCCTGCTCTGCGCTTGAGCACGCAGCAGGCACATGCGGTCTGGGCGCTCTGTCCTCTGGGATGCTGCACTCTGAGGACTCAAGCTGATTCTGACGGTGTGCGCCTCCGTTTCTGTTCTTCCAGTTATGAACTGGGGAGCCACAAGGGCCCAGCACTTACCACTCGACTTCCCTCTGTGACGCTCACTGTGGTTGCTGGGCCTGCCAGCAGCTCACCATGGGGTGGGGTGGTGCAATCCCTAGAGCTTGCTTCATGAGGTGGGTCATTCTAAGATTATTAGGTGAAGAATAATTGTGGACACGCCACGAATTTTTAGTTTTGTGTGCAAGATTTTGTGGTAGGTTTCTTAAATCGAACAATCCATTGTAATGAAGGGGCTCAGACCTTTATAACTATTCACACTATAGGATTTGAGGGTGACTACCGTGCATTCCAGTCAGTCAGCTCAGTCAGCTGACGTTGGCTGGCTGCCTTCACCAAATATTTGAAATAATCACACACGTTGGCTAAGACCTTTCTTTGGATCAACGTATGTTTTCACCTCACTTCCACCCCGCTTCCCTTAGTAACGTCACCTCCTGTATTGTTTGCTTGGGCTGCCATAACAAAACACCAAAGTCTGGGTGGTTTAAAGAGAAGAAGTTAGTGTTCTCACAGTTCTAGAGGCTGGAAGTCCATGATGAATGTGCCATCAGGGGCGGGTTCCTCAGAGCTCTCTCTCCTGAACCTGCTTCGTGTTCATACGGCCATCCCGCTGGGCGTGTGTACCTCTGCTGTCTTTTTGGATGTCCACATTTCCTCCTCTTAGGACACCAGTCTCGTTAGATTAGGACCCACCCTAACAGCGTCACTTTAAGTTTCCCTCTTTAATCATCTCTTTAAAGGCCCTGCATCTAAATAGAGTCACATTCTGAGGTACTGGGGGTTAGGGTTTAACCTATCAATTTTGGTGGGGATACGAATCAACCTATAAGAATTTGGGTTCTTACTCACTTTTAGAGTTCCAGCCTTTCATGGGACAGACCCTTATTTTCTTACCCACTATTGTCCTGTGGACAGAATCTGAGAGCAGGGCAAGGAGGTGTCTGACAGAGCTTTGCTCATGAACCGTGGCCAGCTTTTGAGGAGCTATAACACTGAAGTCTCCGTCTTCTCTCTGAGGAGAGGTTCCCTTCGTCCCATCACCCTTGTCTTTCAGAAAGGAAAATAGATTGACCTGCGCCCAAGGCAGCCAGTGTTCGCGTTTCTGTCTTTCCTCCTGTCCCATCTCTGATCTAAGTTAGCCAGTGTATAGCTATCATCTCCTGCCTCGAGGAGGCTGAGAGAGATCTCCTTTGATTCGGGTTGCTATCTGGAAAGTATTTATTTGCAGTGGTTGCTCTCTCTAAACTATTTATGAGCTTGGTATTATTTCTCACTCCCCCAGTGCTGACTTATCTCCTTTATATCTCTTCTCAAATGCCAGGCCCTTGTGTTCCTGCGTGGAGGGGCTATAGGGCTTGGGGTGCTTCTATCATGTGTGTAGCTCCTCAGTGTGTGTGCATTGTGATGCCAACAGCAGAGGAAGGGTCCTTGTGGGCCCAGGTGTACTGCAGGCCCCAAGGGGATCCAGGTGCTCTCCTCCTTAGCTACTCCTGTGGGCCTCTCCCCCGCTGGCGGTTGATTTCTGAGATGGGCATTGGCATAGTTTTCTCCATCCTCCGGGTTCTCCTCACACGCTCTCATAGGTGGTTGTCTCTGCCTTCTCACATTCTCACATGTGGCCAGGGCATGTTGCTAAGGAAGGAAGCAGTCTTTCCTCCTCTTAGATGGAGACACGTCCCTAAGAAGTCTCTGGCTGCTTGTTCTCTCTGGGTTTGCCAGTGAGCATGCTCACTTAACACCCCTCTTTTCCTCTCATCCTGCTGATGAGAAATTGGATTCTTCAAAAGAGATCATCTGACTATCCAAGGGGTTTAAACTGCACAGAAAAGAATATCTGTACCCGGGTTCATGGGAGGCCTCCTTACAATGAGGAAAGTTCTGGAATACTCACAAACACCTTTTCTGTGACAGCTCCTCACAATGCCTCTGAGGACTCTGATTAACTCCAGTTTTGCTCGTGGGGAGGGTGCAGCAGAAAGGCACTTGGAGTCCATAGAAGCCATCCCTTCCTTCCTTCCTTCCCTAATTTCTCTGGACAAATCCAAGAGACAGCAGCTCTGCCTAGTTCTTTGCACACACATGCCACCAATCTGTCAGCTGCTCTGGATGTGTGTTCCTTCCCATGTTCCCCTGGTAAGGGCCCTCTGACCATTTTCTCCTGAGCGCTAATTGCCAGCATCATTAATACCAGGTCATTAGCTGCTCGCACCATTTGCGGTGGGGGTGGGCTCCTGTCCGTCCTGCCCCTCGAAGCCGCTGGGGCTGTGTGGTGAATTGAATGTGACAGCTCTGCAGCCTCCTAAGGTCCCGGCTTTGCGACCCTCCCTTGGCAAGGCTTTGGGAGTGGGGGAGGGAGGCAGGACGGTTTCATCCAAGAGGCTACTCTGCCGTTCCCCTAGGAAAAGTTGTGGATGCCAGTGAAGTGGGAATGCTGACCTATCGGTCAGCAGTGCTGCAAGGTGACCCAAGCTGCTTGTGAGCACAGACAGGCCTGTTGGAAGAATAGTCCTACGCACTCTGTGGTTTTCAGTGTCACGGGCATCAGTGTCACGGGCATCTGCGCTTGCACCACCTGCAGCAGCAGGGACCTTTTGACTTTGGCCCTCCTGCTGTCTCTTGCTGCATCCCCCCCAGCTGTATCTCCGGGCGAAGCCCATTGCTCATCCCTGTGCCTGCTGCTGCTGAAAGGGCTGAGTGGAGTGCCGGAGCCAGCAGTGACCTTCCCCTAGCCCCGGGCCACCCGCGCTGCCAGCTCAGCGACTGACTGCCACTCCTCCGTCCTCCTGCCCTGCCCTGCCCAGCTGCTCTCTCGCCTTTGTTCCTCTCCTGGTCTCCTTTCCTCCCAGTGTCTGCTTCCTGTCTCTTCTGTAGGTTCGTGCCCTTGCCTCTCTGCCTCAACAGCAGGCAGCCCCTGGGATGCTTGGAGCCCAACCACTCCCGCTTGGGAGATGATACTTTTCTGATGGGGTCCTCCCTTCTGCCCTTCCCTCCGTGGGTGAGGCTGGACTCACTTCTCTTACCACCTTCATCTACTTTCTGCACGTGAAATCACCACGTGTGTGTGCCCGCCTGTGCGTGTGTACAGATGCATATACAGAGAGGCTACACGTATATGAATAACAGGGCTTGGGCAGGTTAGGATGCTGAGAGGTGTCACTCAGAAGGACTCCTTAATGCCACCTTGGAAAACAGTCCATCGGACCAAGGTAGCAGAAAAAGCCTTGGATTAGAACTCAGAACTCCTTTGACACAGGTTCACAATACCAAAACTCTTGAATTTCTTTTTACCTTCTCTGTACAGTGGGACTCTATTATAGGTGATGTTTTCAAGGTAGATTCTTAGGGATGGGGTGGGTGTGGCCATTTATGAGGTCCTGGCCCCAGGTAGAAAAGCTAGTGAATACAGTCTGTGTAAAACATTCATCTGTCCATGTGCCCTTACATCCATCCATCCATCCATTATTGGTTTAGTAACCATGTATTGAATAGTGTCTCAGCCCCTGCCCTTGAGGAGCTCACAGTCTTGAGTGGGAGTGTGTATAGGACAGTGAAGGAGCAAGGAACTTGTGGGCACAGCGCCCTTTCCACCATTAGGGCTGTGGTGCTCCAGGTGTGCCTTCAGCGTCAGCTGGGATCTTGCTGGAAATGCAGATTCTCAGCTCCACTGGACTACCTGAAACAGAGATTTTGAGGGTGGGGGCTAGCAATCTGTGTTTTCAAAACCCCCCCAGGGCATCATGATGCACATAAAAGCTTGCAAACCCCTGCATTAGGAGATTTGCAAAGGCTTCACTGAGGATGTGACATTCAAGGTAGCCCTTCAAGACTGAGGAGGAATTTCCCGGGAGGGAGAGGCCCCCCCAGGGGGAGGGAACTGTGTTTACAGAGGCAAGGAGGTATGAAATAGCATGGTGCGTTCAGACAGTTGGTAGTAGCTGGGTAGTGCTAGAATGGTGGAGATGTGTACAGGAGCCACAGATGGAAGCATCTCCTATGCCAGGCGATGTGGTGGTCAGCCTGTGGAGAAGGAGAGCCACAGTAGCAATTACTAGCAGGCAAGAACAAATGATGTCTAAAGAAACCTGTTTGGAATGTTATTAATTGCTATATGGTACATCTCTTTTATTTAATAGCATAAATGAATATAAAATGCTCTAACATACTTGGAACTCCTAAGAGGGAAATGGTTTTTAAAATATGGATCTGTAGAATTTATTTCAAGCCAGTTTCTCAGGCCAATGGAATGGAAGTTGGGTCCTGGGAGGTCTCGGTCTTCTGTATGGTGGCAGTGTGCCTGGAACGCAGCTAGGCTTTCAGTATCTGTCCAGAGAGGGAAGGGCCTCACCCTAGGGCCCCTTTGGAGGGC